AATCCAAACTAAGACATTTAATGTGATGTCATTCAGGTTGTTTCATTGTAAAGTTACTATTTCTCCCTTTGTAATTCATAAAAATTCTATGACAAGATACTTCGATAATACATAAATAACCTGCTCCTCATCAAACTTTCACCTATTAATCCATCATTCCTCCTACATTTGTTAGTTGACGTTGTGCTAGAAGGAGGAATTTTCTCTTCAACCTTTTATTAATGTATTGTTTTATTCATATCTTTATGGACTTATGAAATCTGATTTTATTTAGTGGGTTAGAATCCATTATCATTATTATTTATATTGATGCTCAAATTGTCCTAAGTTGGGCTGGAAGGAGCCCCAACAAACCTAATCTTGGATCCTTTTGACATGTCCCAATAATACTTCAAACATGTCCCTACTTCCTCACACAGCATTTCATTTCTAACATTTTATACTTTCCTAGTCCGAGCCCTGAAACCAATCACTTTTTCAAGGAATCTTGATCTCTTTTAGTGAACAAAGTTATTGAGAAACCAATATGTAAGCATGAGGATTGTTCATCATTCCTGCTGAGTTATTGTTTTTGGCTCCACTCAGTGGACAGACACAGGAAATACACATACACAAAAGCACACATGTGCACACACAAACATACAATTATACAATTGTATTTGCAAGTACGTATGTGTCAATATTAAAAAAATAATGAATCCATTATTATAATTCCAATTCCAATCCAAACCCTTTAGTTTTATTCTAAGCTCAATCCTTTCCATATAAGTAACTCTTCTCCAACAATCAGAAAACCATTTCCCATTATTCTCAATGTTTTTCTCATTTTCTCAAGCCTAGACTGCATAGTGACTAGTTATTCAAGTGGTGGTGTTGATAAAGTATACTGAATACACTCCAGACTTCCAAAACAACAAACAAATCAGTCTTACAAGAAATACAACCAGAATGTTACTTAGAAGTGATGACAGCAGTACTTCAACCTACTTACTTTGGATACATCATCAGGAAAGAGTGATCACTAGAAAAGATCATCATGTTTAATGAGGTAGACAGCAAAAGAAAACAAGGAAAATCTTCAATGAGATGATTGACACAATAGCTGAACAATGGGCTCATACATACCAAAAATAATGAAGATGGTGCAGAACCAGGCAATTTTGTTCTATTGTACATAAGATCACCGTGAGCTGAAACCAACTTGATGGCAACTAACAATGAGTCTCCAGATGCTACCTAATATTATTGTGAAAAGCAAATATAACAAGTGGTACTCAATATTTGTTTACACTACTTTCCTTCTGAGGAATGATTTACAACAGTGAAATGTGTAAATCTTAAGCTTATTTTGTGATGTGTATTGATAAAGGTTACAACTGTGTCACCCACAATTCTGTTAAGGTATAGAGTATTTCTATCACTCCAGAAAGTTCCCTCATCATGTCTCTTTCCAGTCAATGCTTGCTACTTAACAATCTCTCAGAGGAAAACACTGCATTTCTTTTACCATAAATTAGTATTGCCTGTTCTAGAACATCATATAAATGGAGTCATAAAATATGAACTGTTCAGATTAATTCACTCACCAAAGTACTTTTGTATTTATCGGAGTTATTGAATGTCTTAGTAATTTTTTTTTTAAGACATGTTTGATCAAGAATTTTTCCCATTTACACTGTCTCGTGGTTGTTTTAAGGTCCCTGAATGACACAAACTATATGCACTCAGGCTGGTAACCCAGAGATCAGTAATTCAAACTCACCAGCGTCTCCATGGGAGAAAAAATCTGGCTATCTGCTCCCGTAGATTACAGCCTAGGAAACTCTATGCAACATTTCTACTCTGTCCTATAGGGTCCCTATGAGTCTGAATTGATTCAATGTCACAAAACAAGAAGAACTAACTGAAAGGTTGATGGTTCAAATCCACCTAGCAGTGCCACAGAAGAAACACTTGGTTATTGCTTTCATAAGTTTACAGCTAAGAAAACACTACGGAGCACACTCTACATTGAAGTACATAGGGTTGTCATGAGTCGGAATTGACTCAACAGTGACAGTTTAGTTTTTTGTTTTGGTTTTATTGTGGAGCTGTAAGACTTATTTATATAATTTAGATCCAAGTCTTTTTTCAGATATTGGCATCTGTGGCTTGCTTATTCATTTTCTTAACAGTATACTTCTGGTGAAGTCCAAAGTATTGATAAAATGGTGTCTTATTGGAGTCCCTGTGTGGTGCAAATAGTTAACACACTCGGGTGGTAACCAAAAGGTTTGAATCCACCCAGAGGCTTCTCAAAGATTGATTCAAAAAAATTAGCCATTGAAAACCCTGTAGAATACAGTTCTACTGTGACACACATGCAATCACCATGAATCGGAGTATTATTACTTTCTGTGTCCAGACCAGGAAATCATTGCCCATCTTCAAGTCATGAAGATGTTCTTTATTTTTGTTTTCTTTCTAGAAGCTTTACTTTTTAACTATTACATTTAGTTGTATATCCCAAGATACGTTAAAATTTTGTATGATGTGAAATAGAGGTCAATATTTTTTAGTGAATGTTGTAACCGTACTATTTATTGAAAAACTTTTCATTTTTCATTGAATTGCTTTGGCAATTTTGTTGAAAATCAATTGACCTTGTATTAAGCAAATGAGTATGGGTTTACTGGTAGGATCTGTGTTTTGTTTCATAATTTATTTGTTTATCCTCATGCTGATACCAACTTTCTTGATTATCATAATTTAATATTAAGTCTTGATGCCAGATAATGTAAGTAGTCAAAATATCTTCTTTATTTTAAGATTATTTTAGCTCTAGTTCCTTTGGATTCCCATATAAATTACCAAATGACCTTCTCAATTGATTACAAAAAAAAAATTTGCTACTATTCTTCTTGTGACTATGCATCTTTAGATCAATTTCAGAAGTGACATCTTAATGATAATGAGATTTCCAATCCATGAATAAAGTATAACTCTCTATTTCTTTAAATCTTGTCTAATTTCTGTCAATAATTTGTAATTTTAACTATAGAATTACTGCAAATATTTTATTTTATTGGATTAAAAAATATATATATGTATCCAAGTGTTTTAGGTCTTTACATTCTATGGCAAAACTTTTTCTTTTTTTTTTGTAGTTCCCAGTCATTTTTCCAATATATAGAAATAAAAATAATTTTCCCACGGACCTTGTATCTTACAACCTTGCTAAATTCACTTATTAATTAATGCTATTAACTTTATGAGTGTACTACTTAAGATTTTTCATGTTAAAAAGTATTGCCCACTGTAAATAAAGGTTTTGCAATTGGCATTGTGTATATTACCCTCTGGCATTGCACACAGAATGACAACAGTTACTATTCTCTGCTCCAGTCCTTGTCTTTTTTTTTTTTTTTTTTTTTTTTTTAGATTTATCATTTAAAAGATACAGAAACTTACCATATGGAGCACATACATGTGTCAGTACCCCATCCTACCTTTCATTTTCAGTTTTTGTTTCTTGAATTAAGAGCCTTTTTTTTTTTAAATCATTTTTAAGATTCTCAGTTCAACCTGAGTACGGATGAAATCTTCCAAGATTTTTCCCCAACACTACTTCTCTAGTTATTTCTAGACCTTCATGGCAAGTCTCTTGGGGACCTGAGAGTAGTTACTGGTTTCTGCCTTGGGTTCTGAGCAGTTTTAGAGATGATACATAGCAGTGGTAAATGAAGAACAGACCATGATCTGTGATTTTTCAATACTGTTTAAGTGTCAGGATATAACTTGGTATGAAAGCGAAATGGGCCTTCTAACTAAATCACAGAATGAAGTTCATTTCCCCATCAAGAGCGGATAATGCTGGTATCAGGACAATGTTTTCACATGGGAGTAGATACTGCCTAAGGAGAGCAACTCAGAAAGTAAACAATCAAACTGGAGTATATTTATACCATGATACACTATTCAGCAATAGTAATAAAGATACTAGAAGCACTAACAATAACCTGGATATAAATTACAAGAAAAGAGACACAAAAGAATATATATTGAATGTTTCCATTTATATAAAATTCATAAACAGGCAAAACTATAAAGTTTAGTGATGCATGCTTAGGTGGTAAAAGCATATAGGAAAGCAAGGAAATAATTATATTAAATATCAGTATAGTAATTACCTTAGGATGAGTGAGGAGCAGTGATAACAATAGGAAACATGGCTCTTTGGATGCTGAAACCAACAATCAGTTGCCATTGAGTAGACTTCAACTCATGGTTACTGCATGTGTGTCAGAGTAGAACTGTGCTCCATAGGGTTTTGAAGACTATGACTTTTCAGAAGTATATTGCCAGGTCTTCCTTCCAAGTTTCTTTTGAGTGGGTTCCAACATCCAGCCTTTCGATTAGTAGCCCAGTGCTTAACTATTTGCACCACCCAGGGACTCCTTGTTTTGGAGGCTAGCAATGATTAATTTCTTCACATGGGGGTTGTTATATGGGTATTTGCTTTATAATAATTTATTTTCACTTTTTTGTATGTGTGTTATATTTGAAAAAAAATAAAATATAGCAGTAATGGCTGTATTTTTTAAATTTTTTCTAATCAGTTAAGTAAGAGATGAAATTATAAATGCTCACCTCACTTGTATTTTCTACTAAACATTTAACTCCTACATTTTGTTTTCCAGTTTTATTTTCAACATAGAGCTAGGTGACACTGTGGAGGAACTCCAGGTATAAAAGGACAAGACAAAGTTAGAAAAATATCTTAAATAATTTGAAATCTCATCTTAAGAAAGTTTTGTTCTTTACTTAGGTAGCCAATCAAAGGTATTGGGTAATGACTTGACCATCTTGAGTGATAAGCTTCTGAGATTTAGTTTAAAGAATTTTCCCCAGATGTACACATTTCAGGAAGATATACCTTTTCTTAGAATTATATACCTTTACCTTTAGATATACCTTTACTTAGAATTAATTAATTTTTTTTCAGAAGGACCCACTGATGATCAAGATGTTGTTTTGAAGACAAGCATTCTCAGGACATGGTCACAGATTTGTTTGGTCTTCACCTCATAGACTATAGGTTTGAGAAATGGTGGGACTAACAGGTAAAGGTTCAACAAAAGGATATGAACATATGGTGGTATGTGAGCACCAAACCTGTGTGTGAAGAAAGAAGAAGGTGAGAAGGTAGAACTGAAGGAACACACAAATGTGGGCAATGCATGTATTGAGGGCCTTGAGTCGTGCCTCCTTCTGAGGCAGTTGAAAGACAGTGATGAAGATTTGAACATACTACAAAGTGATAAAGATTATGTCAAACCCTAGGATGGTGAAGGCAACAAACAGGCCGTATATCTTGTTGACCCGGATATCTTCAACAGCCAGCTTCACAAGGGCCATGTGCTCACAGTAAGAATGGGAGATGATTGTAGTTCTGTAGAGTTTAAGGCGGCATTTGATAAGCACTAGACATGGTGCTACAAGAATAGCAGCCCTGAGTGTCACCCCAACCCCAGTATAAGTAAGAAACTGTTGTGAGAAGATGGTGGCATGTCTCAAGGGGTCACAAATGGCCACATAGCGGTCCAGGGCCGTTGCCAGCAGGACACCTGATTCAATTGCCTGAAATGAGTGACTAAGCCACATTTGCAGCAGGCAGGCTGCAAAATAAATCTCTGATAAATGAAACCAGAAGATGCCTAACATTTTGGGAAGAATGCAGGTGCTAAGTGCAATGTCTGTGGACCCCAACATAGCCAAAAAAAAGTACATGGGATTATCCAGGCTGTTTTCATATTTGCGTATAGCTAAGATGAGGGTATTCCCAATCACAGCAATGAGGTACATGACAGAGAATGGAATCCCAACCCAACATTGTACTAACTCCAGGCCAGGGATCCCAATTAGTGTTAATACGGAGGGCATGAAGACTGAACCATTGACTGTTAGCATGGTGACTAGGTCAGTAGAATCAAGTTGTGGTATTGCTGTTTCATCTTCTGTTCCTTGTAAAGACTTGATAAATTAAAAATAAAAAGAAATTAATTTATTTTAGGCACATATGTTTTAACTATATTATGAATGTATCATATTATCTTTTCTACCCCAACTATTCCTTTCTAATTTTCTATCTTCTTTCCCAAGAGTCACTGAGTGGCCAACCATCAGGTTTTATGTTTCCGTATTCCCTAGTCATTTTCAATGAGCAAAATTAAATGGACTAGATGGCTCATTTCTGGCCCACGATAACTGACCAAACTGATTCCCTTTATTTTGTGCCCTGTACTCATCACCTGTTTTTTTTTTTTTTTTGTGATTCATCAATTGCAACTGGGGGGAAAAAAGTCATTTAATGCAAATTAAAGATTCTTTAAAAGCAATAGCACACTTGGGCTAGACATAAAGGATTCACAGTGGTGGTAAACCATTCAACTGGATCAGAATCTGAAGACGATATTAATAGAGTATTTTTCAGTCTTGCATATCACTTGTTTCCTCATGTTAGTTTCTGCATAACCTAGTCCTTATTTCATAGACTTCTCAGAAATACTTTCAACCTAATTTTTCAAACTTTCAATGTCTTTCTATAACATAATGATAACTCTGTCAACTTATTTTTTGAAAAAATAAATCTATTATTTTTTAATCTGTGAGTGTTTTTCTCTGTAGTTTCTATCAGAGCTTGTCTGAAATTTCAGTGTCCTGCCTGGGTGCAACTATTGTATTGAAGTTCAAGTGCCAACCTATTCCTTGTGCTCTTTTCTTTCCCCATCAATAGCTATTATTACCTCTCTAAGCCCGAATAGTTAGTTTTTCTCAGCCATTTGAAATAACAGTAAACTCCCTCTTATTATTATTTTTTCTTTTATTTGCAGCCATATCTATATTCTATTTACTCAAAATAAAATGATATCTGTCTAGGTGAAAGTTTTCTTTTGCACATTATTTTCCATAGGCCTATTTCCATCTTCATGTGTTCCTGCATACATGGAACTTGTTCCTTCCACAGCTCCTAACTCTATTCCCAAATGAAATATTTCAGTGTAGTCTGACTTGTCATTATCATCTTCCAAAGTCCAAAGGATTTTCTTACTTGCTGATTCATTGAAACTTGCATTTTCCATTGCCTCAAAAAATATTAATTACAATTATTTTCTTTTGGAATTTGAAAGCTCAGTTTCTGAAACCATTTAAGCCAAATATTAAAAGGATAAAGAAGCTGAGGTGGTCCTAAAACAATAAATTAAGAACATTAAAAAAAAATCTCATAATCATAATCATCATTCCCCATTATTCTGCAGGGTTTTTTGTTTGTTATTGTTGTTTTCTTGAGAAACTTTGATTTTCTCTGGGATATGAAAGGATAACTATAACCCAGCTGAGGTCTCTTGCAAGCGCATTTATGTTTTCTTCTCATAAAAACTTATTCAAGTCTGAGTAAAGCTTTCCTTTTTGAGACTCTTTGTTCAGAAACTCTTCCTTTTAGCAAATATACAGTATGCCAAACTAGATTATCTTCACATCAGAAGGTAACAATACTACACACAAATTAGGAATGTATTTCCTAATTATTTTATTGAACAAAAATTTATTAAAAATCCACTATGTTCCAAGTATTGTTTAAAGCAATTGAGGGATAAATTAATTTATTTATTCTATATTTATGAGGTATCTACATTATTCTGGGCTCTTGGAATTCAAAAAGTAGTACCTATCATTTATTAAATGTGTATTAAATATCATTACCTCTTTTAAGAACTTTAAACAGTTTAGATAATTTTACTTCCTTAGCTTATGATACAGGCATTATTACACCATTATTCTAATAAAAATAACTGTGACTCATGTTGTTATAGATGAATCTATTTGGATCCGAATTCCATGCCATATTGACCCATAAAGAACAAAATAAACAAATCTCTCTCCTCTGAGATCTTATTATTAAAATTTAGCAAGTAGGGATTATTAGCTATGTATATGCGGAAGCTGTTAGAATACATAAGGCTGAGTTGTGCCAAAATAGAGTGAAGATTTTAACCATTGTGTTCGGATTCAGATGGATACTACTCTCATCTTTCTTTCTTAATTCCCCAAATAAATTATGTACCCCGGAGTACGTGTATATTATATACTACCTGTCTCTGGAATGACGACTTTTTCAATAGCATATCATCTATACACTGGCCAACAATTTCTGTGACTTTATTAGGAATATAAATTTGGGAAATTTAACATAGCCACCTGAGTAATAATTTAATTTACCTGGAGAACCCTTGAAGAGTAACATATAAACAGAAGCACTACAGAAATATGTAATGATCAGAGGAATGGAAGAAAAAAGAGAAAAAAATCAATCAAGTAAACAGAACAGCAAAAAAAAATAAAATAGAAAAGCATGTCTTCAGTCTAAAAGACTATCGATCATGTGAAGGAAATAGTTATATTTCTTCCTGATAGTTTTCCATTTTTAACTCCCATGAGGCCTAACTGATATTCCTCCAGGTCAGGATTTCTCAACTTCTACATGACTGACATTCAAAAAGTTCTTAAATCATTTCTAAATGTCACCTGAAGGAGTGGTGGAGGGGCTGGGATGGTGGGGCTTTAAATCACAACTGGTAGCTACCCATTTTTCTAGGGTTCTATGGGAGTGGGAAATTCTTAACTGAATAAGAATTCTTGGGTTTATGTACCTTTAGTCAAAAGAGAATTAAAGTGGCTATTGAGGGAAATTATTCTTTAGTAGATATCAGCCATATAAAGAAGATGAAGAAGAGGAAACAACTTATACAAAAATTACAGAAAAATTAAAAACATACAGTGGGATTAAGAATCAAGAAACCTATATTAACATATAAATTGATTTATAAGAAAAATAGTAAGCATGGAGGCTAATGAAAAGGAAAGAAGACTGAATATGAAGTTCCTTTTCTAAGCCAAATAATTTCAAATTTGTAGGTGGAAGGAGAAAATCTTTTGCCTTTCGAAGAATTCAATCTGACAGCACCTTTGTCAATGACTTGAAGGATAGCAAGGCTAGGATTAGGGAACCTTGTTAGAAAGCTACTGTGATAGCATAGATAAGATATTATGAAGTAATGTGGCAATATTGGAAGAATAATAAGGAATCGAAATCTGTGGGACTCATTGACTCATGTAAGAGAAATTGAGGGAGATGAGCAAGATGGACTGAGAATTACAAGAATGGGTGCAAACGGGAGCAATTTTGTGTGTACAAATATGTATATGTTTAAAAGCGGAAGGAACATTTTCTTAAACCCTTGAAATAAATGAGCCAAGACAAGTAATCTGGGGAATTTGCATCCTCTGTATAGCATAAGACCTAAACCATTAGTGTTACCTACAATTCCACTTCTGACAAAGGCTATGATTCTCAGTATAATTATTTTAAGGAATTTAGGGGTCAGCTAATCTATATTCTACAAAATCAGAAGTTTTTTCTCTCTTTACATCTATGACATTCAACCTTCAACCTCTTTATCAAGCCCTTCAGTGGCAGAGAACTTCTTTTATCTGAGATAATCTGTCACATTGCAAGGCAGCTCCAAATGTCAGACTGTTAACTTTATATTGAGTCCCAAACTGTTTTCGTCTTATTTTCTCATGAAGTGTCTATATCCAAGTTCCAGTGATAGACATTGGCTATGAATCATAGTGTTTCCTTGTCCAGGTTTGAAGCGAGTAACAGAGTCTAAATCCTGGAAATGTGACTGCCTAGTTTTGCATTCTCTTGAGCAAATTATGAAACTTCAAAGTGCCTCAATTTCCTCATTGGTAAAATGAAGTTAGAAAAACACTGGTACAATAAAGATAGAAATATATTAGAGGGTGATTGTTAGAACTAAATGAAACAATCCATTTAAAATATTTAGAAAGAAGCATAAACTACATTAATCTGTCAATAAATGCCAGTGATTAATACACAGAAATGTATCCCTTCCCAAAAAATAACCTCAGATATTTGATGACACAGTGAGCATCCCCCCTGAACCTTTCTCAGGCTAAACATGTACAATTTCCTAACCCTTTAACAAATGAGCTTTTCATTAATTGATCAACCAGATATCATTTTCTAGAGGTCTTTCTATTTGTCAACTTCCCTTTAAAATTTGTCACCCAGAATTTCTTTGCCTGATCCAGAAATATTCTGAAAAGCATAAGATACCATGAGAAAACAATCTTTCTAGAATTTGAACACTCAGCTACAGTATGATTCTGTTGCTTTTTATCATGCTGGCTTCCATTAGGTTACATGAGATAGCTGTTCTCTATGAAACCCTGGGTGGTGCAAATGGTTAAGTACTTGACTACAGACCAAAAGTTTTGGGGTTTGAACGTATCTAGAGGTATCTAGGAAGACAGGTTTGATGATCAGTTTACAAAAAGTCACAGCCTTGAAAACCCTATGAAGCAGTTCTACTCTGCACACATGGGGTCTCCATGAGTTGGAATCGACTCAAAGACAGCTAACAACAGCAACATAAAACCAGTCCTCCATTTTTCCATATTTAGGGCAAAATCCTAAGCCCAAAGACTTACCAGATACTAACAGTGAAAATACAAGTAATAGCTATAGAGTGAGATTTTTCTTTCTTTCTTTTTTCTTGTTTGATGTTTCAGGTAGTGAAGGATGAGTGTTTTGCACTCCAGGATGTTCCTGTGGGATGAGTTTTCATCAATTCCTGGAGGGCCTTAAGGTCCACCTGAGGCAAAGGGCACTGGGAACCAAAATGAGCCTATTTTTAAAAATGCCTCAGAGAAGACAGTGTTCCTAGATAATACAGAACAAGTTAATGACACTTATTTACAAAAATAATGAGCTACCAGGAGCCATGGTGGCACAGTGGTTAAGAGCTCAGGCTGCTAAACAAAAGGTCGACAGTTTGACTCTACTAGTCACTTCTTGGAAACCCTATGGGACAGTTCTACTG